ATTACAACTGTGGGATCAAATAAACTTTTAATTACAATTGTTGGATCAAATAAATTATTATTAATTTATTATTAAAAATGAATAAACATTATTAACTATTGTTAAAAAATAATAAATAATGAATAATAATTTATTTGATCCCACAATTGTAATTAAAAGTTTATTTTAATATTTTTTTATATTTTTAAACAATTAATTTTAAAAGTAAATAATTTTTTCAGAAATATATGAAATTTATTATTTTTTAAAATTATAAAATATTTCTTATTATTATTATCATCATCATTTTGTAAAAAAATACTAGTTATAAAACTTTTATAAAATTATTTATATTTTAAATTACTTACCCTCGACGTTTCCTATACTAGATTATATGTATTGTATAATTTCATGCAAAAGTTAAAATTTGTCGAGTTATAAAATAATTTACAAAATAAGATTTAAAGATTTTAATGCAGAATTTTTTTTACATAAATAAAAAAATTAACGTTTTTACACAAAAAATACCATAACAGAAAATATTTACATATTAGGTACCATGTTAAAAAATTTACGAAACTAACACCGATTTTTACACATGACGTAAGGCGTGGTGCATGTGTTGCGCTTTTCAACACGTGGCGCCACATCGACGTAAGGCGCGGTGCATTGACTGTACCACGGTGCATGAATTGTATCTTTTTGTAAAGGGTATTAGATCCGTAATATTTTTTTAAACGATTTCTAACATGTATATATTTAAGAAAAAAGTGATTTTTGGGAAAAATCAAACTAAGCAAGTGATTCGTTAATTCATTTAATAACATAAATTCGTTAATTCATCAATCAACTCTTTCCTCAAATAAGAGCTAATGTCGAAGCTGGTATTAAAATCATTCAGTTCTCGATTAGTCGATGACGCGTTGTCGGAAGCTGCGGATTGGGCTACACTTCGGGAACCGTCAACGACGGCGACGCAGCCATCAATATCGCCCGCTGGCGCCAAATGATGGTGGCATTGACATTTCTTTTTGAATTTAGGTTTATGATTTGGTTCGGTCGATTTGAATATTTTATATTTTTTAATTTCAAAATTAAGATGAAATTAATATAATATATAAATGTTTAAAATTAAAAATAAATTATAATAATTTTTTAAAATTTAAGAACAAAATATATTATTATTATATAAGAAAAAAATCATCGTCTCATTATTAACTCTTTTTTTCGTAGATAGCCATTAGTTTTATCAGCAAGAGAAAATATTTAAAATTATAATAAATATTTGCAATAATAATCATAAACTAAATATATAATTAAAATATTTTTTATAATCATTGACATAAGAAACTGATCATTTGAATCTACATTATTGACTTAACGTGAATGAATCAAAACATGTAAAATTGATAAATTAAATGATTATTTTATAAATAATAATAATAATAATACTATTTATATAATTTACACATTTATTTTCACGACTCTTAATGTTCATAGTCAAAATTAATATTTGGGTAAGAAGAAAAAAATGATAAAAAGATTAGAGATTTCAAATTTCAAATACTTACTATCAGGGATCAACAGAAGGGAACGAGTAAGAAAAATTATTTTCTTAAAAATTTAAAATTATTATATTTTTTAATTTATTTTTTTATATTTTCTATTAAAAAACATATTTTCAGCTCACCCTAAAATTTTATACGTTAAATGAGCATATAATACTTTTATATCTCAATTTCATTGATAATATACAAGTTCAATGAGCAAATAATTTAATTATAACATCTCTCCAATCTCTTTGGAATCTGACACAATTTTTTTATAGAAAAAATATCATTAATATGAAAAAGTTTTAAACATCATCAAAAGTTAGATTATAGCATTTCATTATAAATAAATTGTATTTTTTTAAAAAAATATTGATGAAATAATATTTATAGTGATGCTTGGAATATAACATCATAGTTAAAACATTGCTGAAATTTCCAAGCCACCGCCCAACCGATGGGTCACCAAGAGAATTAACCCAAAAAAAATTGGAATTTGATTTCGTAATGGAGACACGTGGTGTATTTCCAACCATAATTCATAGTCAAGAAAGCTACATCAAAGTTCGGCCACGAGAACGACCAAAAGCAGTTTGATAAAATTATAATTATTAGAAATTATTATATATAATTACAAGTTTACTACGATTATGAAGGTATGAGGCTAACCTTTGAGAATATATAAATATATATGTAAAATTGAGTTGGCGTGGTCGGTCCATTCATACAATAATGTCAGCTTTTACGTGTGTGTATATATATATATATATATAAAAGTACATATAATAATTCATCATTTAATTTTTGGGTTCGAACATCAATAATACTATAAATACTAATGTTTAATATTAAAAAGATTAAAATTTATTTTTGAACAAATACAACTTTTCTTTACTCTAAATTAATAAAAAAACAATAATAAGAATATACGCCACGATTATTGTTGGCCTAGTTGATTGGTCTTGTTAAATTGTTAGTTTATGAATTTCATGTAATATTTTTTTATTAAATTATACAATCTTTAATATAGATAGTTAAAGGTTCTAAATTGATATTTTTCTTCTATTTTAAATTAGAAGTTCAATACTCACTAGAAGTAATATTTTTTTTCACTCCCCATAAGTAGGAATTGCTAAAAAAAAATTACTTGGCTCGTTAGCATTTTTTAAGAACTCGTTACTTTTATTTGAAAGAGATAAAATTTAAAATTATAATGAATATTTATAATCTTAAATATAAATTAAACAAATAAATTGAGTTTTTTTTATAATTATTGACAAGAAAATAAGTCATTTGAGATAATATAAGACCATACAAAGAAAATTTTAAAACCCTAAATAACTCGAATAAGAATTAAATACAAATAAATTTGATTACATTGTCAAATAAACTATAAAAAGAGATCAAACTATTGAAAGACCATAAGTAAATCGTAAATCTGTGACGAATGATATAAAAAAATCATCTATGATCGTAAATCATATATTCTGAGGTATCCAAAATAGAAAAAATAAACATGATCGAATTTGATGCTATAAAATCAGAACTATTCATCAATGATTAAAGAATAAGCACAAAACATGAACCACATATATATTTGAAAGAATTAATCTTGGGTTTTAGCTTTCATATTCAGAGCACAAGTTTATCCTGCACAGCCGTCACTGGTTTTGTCTCATTTAATAATCATGGAATCTGACCTTTTTATATAATATTAAATAAATATAATAACAATAATAATCTGTTATATTATTTAATTTCCCTTTTTGTAATATTGTGTAAGCATGGATTAAAGAAGAGCTGGTGCAACAATAATTAAACAGAAAGCAAATAAATGTAAGGCAGTTGCAATAATTCTTCTGGTGCAACAAAATCACAAATGTTATTTTATAAGGTGTAATCCCACAAGATATCACTAGACACTAGGCTATGTGCAAGTCTTAAATTGGTCCCTGTATTTTAAATTTTTTTATTACATTTTATTTAATTCATTATTTCTATCAGCTTCAGCAGGGTGACTTGCTTTACTTTTGTCATCTTTAGAAAAGTAGATTTTTCTCAAACATATAAATACTTCACAATTAGGGTTATAAAACTTATAAAACATATAGTACGAACCAAGCGATTTCGGTGGTAAAGTAATTGTTGATATTCCTTGAAGTTCCGGGTTCGAACACCATGTATGTCAGGGGTATGAGCGTTCAATGTCAAATGACTGAGAGTTATATTTGAATATAGATATTACCTTGTACTTACCCCATATTACTAAAAAAATATTCCACTCAAGACCTTAGCTATTTTATATGAATAATATTACTTTTTTATTATTTACGTAAATAGTACTTAAAAAATATTTAAGAAAATAGTAGTTTTTTGGCGTCTCGCCAGTCATATTGTTATGAAGGGGTGTTTGATAGGGCACGCCTTTACTGATATGATTCGAGCAAAATTTTCCAAGTTGACATTGATCATGACCAATACGAATAAAAGTACAATGAGGGGACAAAAACATTAAAAAATTATATAGATTTTATCCAAAAATAAGAAATGTATATGATACGTATTGAAGACGCATATTTGATCATATTGCACAAGTCAAGCCAAACGACAACGAGATACATGTATAACTTTTATCTTCAATCACTCTATGAGCATATGTTTAAAATATTATATTTAAACACTTGAAAAAAAAATTATATATAAACAATGTATGAAAAATCTAATAACTAAATTTATTATTTTATATTATTAAAAATATATTTTAAATTTAATTATACTCATATTAATACAATACTTATTTAAAATCACATTATGAAAAATTATCTTCAACTGTACGTGAGTGCTATTTTTATAATTAATTATTAAATTAATATTAGGGTAAAGTACACAAATGATTACTCGACTATCCCAACTATTAAAAGTTACAAAAAATTCTCCCGACTATAGGAGTTATTTTGTTGAGTTCATCGACTATTAAAAGTTTCAAAATGGTCACCCGTTATTCATTATGTTCCAAACTTTTCATTTTTCATTAAAAAATTAACGGTTATCTGAGCTAGATGTTATCATACTGACTGAGATATGATAGTCGTTTGAGATTATAAGATCAAATTTTATTATATCTCAGTCAGTAAATTAACGTCTAGCTTTGATTGTTGTCAACTTTTTAACGGAAAAGAACGAATTTAAAACATAATGAATAATCAAATGACTATTTTATAACTTTTAATAGTCAATAGATACAATAAAATAATGTCCTATAGTTAGGGTACTATTTGTGTACTTTATGCTTAATATTATTGGCACAAAATTGTCCATGACATATGAATAAAAATAGCCGTTGTAAGTAGCTAAGGGTGGGACCATGCAACGAAGAAAATCGTAATCAAGTTGGAATGGACGGCTAAGAATAATGTTAAAATAATCACATTACACATAATCAATCTCCCAAAGCATTATCATCATCAGCTCCCCTCTCTATTTTACCCTTATATACACTTCTCCTCCCACTCACCTCTCTTCATCCACAGCTCAAGTTTCCCCTTTTTCCTCAAACAACTTTTCTTAGCAAAAACTTAGTTCTAGCAAAGGGAACAAATGGCTAAGGACATCGAAACGACGGCGGAGCAAGGCGGAGGCGAGTTCTCAGCCAAGGACTACCACGACCCACCACCGGCACCGCTGATCGACTTCGATGAACTCACCAAATGGTCGTTTTACAGGGCGTGTATTGCCGAGTTCATTGCCACCCTTCTCTTCTTGTATGTCACGGTCTTGACTGTGATTGGCCATAAAGTCCAAACCGACCCGGCCAAGAATACCGTTGACCCGGACTGCGGTAGCGTTGGCATCCTCGGTATCGCTTGGGCCTTTGGTGGCATGATCTTTATCCTTGTTTATTGCACCGCCGGTATCTCAGGTGAGTGCACCATATAAATGCAAAATCTATAAAGCGGCTCGGTTTTGTTATCCCAACTAAAATAACTGTAAAACCTACTGCAGGAGGACACATCAACCCGGCGGTGACGTTCGGACTTTTCGTGGGGCGAAAGGTATCGCTGATCCGAGCCATCATGTATATGGTGGCTCAGTGCTTAGGTGCTATCTGCGGTTGTGGGTTGGTCAAGGCTTTCCAGAAGACTTACTACAACAACTACGGCGGTGGTGCCAACGAGCTCCAACCCGGCTTCAACAAGGGCACCGGCTTGGGCGCTGAAATCATCGGGACCTTCGTTCTCGTTTACACCGTCTTCGCCGCCACTGATCCCAAGAGGAACGCTAGGGATTCCCATGTTCCAGTACGTACTCTGTCCTCAACCCTCTTCAATCCATTACTAATATTATATAATTTTATCTGTTATTGATAAGGGTGAATAAAACTCTATTCAAAAAAAATAATTTTTTCTACTCATGTTATAAAATTAAATTTGAGTGGAGTTTTAAAATAAAAATTAAATAACTAAATTTTCTGTAGTAACTAGTAGATTAGGTTTTTGAAATTTAAGTCAATTTTTTTAACTCTGCATTATATATATATATATATATATGATTATAGAAAATTATTTAAATTTGAATCAAATAGTATAAAAACATAATAAATATTTACAATTAAATTTAAACATAAACTTAAACAATTTATTTCAAAAAAAGTATTAAATAAAATTTAAATTATAAAATATAGTTAGTTAACGAGATTAATTCAAAATATTTTAACTAAACTGTATTGAATACACACAAGTATTAATGAGTAATTATTGGAGTAGATTGTCCATATATAGACTTTACTAGCAATTTCCCACTTGTGTTAGTAGGAAGTTTGATGGCAAGTAGTATAGGAGGGTAGTTACTTTGGCAACCTCTTAATTTCATTTTAAAGCTAATAAAGTAAAATATTGAAGGTGTTGGCACCACTCCCCATTGGATTCGCCGTGTTCATGGTTCACCTGGCCACAATTCCAATCACCGGCACCGGTATCAACCCTGCAAGGAGCTTTGGAGCTGCTGTGATTTACAACAAAGAGAAGGCCTGGGATGATCAGGTAAAACACTCACTCTTCCTCGATAAAAATATATAAATAAATAAAGAGTGCTCATATATATTTCATTATTTTTTTGCAGTGGATGTTCTGGGTTGGACCCTTCATCGGAGCCGCCGTTGCAGCCTTTTACCACCAATACATCCTAAGAGCAGCAGCCATTAAAGCCCTTGGATCTTTCAGGAGCAACAATTAAAATATTTTCATAGATAATCACAACAAAAACAATGGTCTGTGGGGATGTAATAAGAAATGGAAATGAGTGCATGTTTGTGTCGGGGGAGGGTTCCCTTATTGCAGTTTATGTCTTTGGTTTGAAGGGTGGGGGAGCCAATGAACTGTAAATAAGAACATATTTATGGATAAGGGTGTCTTATCAATCCCTGTTTGGTTTTTAATGTAATTTGTAATGAAGTTGTGTTGTCATCTTTGTTTTATCCTTATCTCCATTTTTTTATGCATAAAATATTGTTTAATCTCGATCGCTATCCTTTTGTCATCGGCCTATATTTGTATATATTGACTTGCAACTCAAGCTAATCATGCTATAAAATATAGTTTACCGAACTGCTTGATATGACTTCAACTTCCCTAAGCTTCATCAATTATGATTTACATACTATAAATTTAAGAGAAAATAATCTCAGTGACCAAAAATAACTTATAATATACGATTTTAATCAATTTTTTTTAGATTTACCAAAATGACCAACTAAATCGCAATGCGATCGATAATTCGCAACGCGATCTCCGGTATCGTAAATCAGTTTCCAGATTCGCAACGCGAACTTCGACTATCGCATTGCGATTTACATATTCGCATTGCGATAGTCGAAGTTCGCGTTGCGATTTTCCAAATTCGTTGCGATAGTCCAAGTTCGGGTTGCGATTTATTACAAATTCGTTGCGATAGTCCAGGTTCGCGTTGCTATTTATTCCAAATTCGTTGCGATAGTCCAAAATCGCAACGGCTGGTGGTATTGCATTTGTTTCTTAAGAATTTTCTCTAAAAATATAGTATTCGTGCGGCCACGACCACGACCACGAGACTAGATAGACGGCGGCGGCGGCAGCGCGCGAGAGTCCCCCTTGTTCTCTATCACTCAACAAGGAAGTAGGAAAGCCAAGCCTTAAATATCATTCCCAATAGTGTTTCCAATACTATGTGGGATTGAGCATTACCAACACTTGTTTCCAATACTATGTGATTATTCAGGAAACAATTAACAATCATGCACTTTAAAACAACTGAATCAGCAACCAATTACATTAGTATTATACGATTAAATATGTCATAATTAAAAGTCAATCTACAATCAATCGCGATTATTGTAATTTTAAGTAAAACATTAAAAAAAATTGCATCACTCGCGAGAATAAAAAAAATTATTATCGTGCAATTACAATCAATTGAAAATAAATTAGAATTGCATGAAAACTAAACGAACCACAAATACTTTTCATACAAATGCTAAAGTCATTAACTATAATTCACAAATAATATCACTATTTAAGGCTCAATCCCACATAGTATTGGGAACAAGTGTTGGTAATGCTCAATCCCACATAGTATTGGAAATACTATTGAGAATGGTATTTAAGGCTTGGCTTTCCCACTTCCTTGTTGAGTGATAGAGAACAAGGGAGACTCTCGCGCGCCTCCGCCGCCGTCGGTCGTGGTCGTGGTCGTGGTAATACGTGTCTTTGACACGTCCGCACGAATACTATCTTTTTAGAGAAAATTCTCAAGAAACAAATACAATACCACCAGTCGTTGCGATTTTGGACTATCGCAACTAATTTGGAATAAATCGTAACGCGAACTTGGACTATCGCAACGAATTTGGAAAATCGCGATAGTCGAAGTTCGCGTTGCGATAATCGATGTTCGCGTTGCGAATCTGAAAACTGATAGTTTAGTCTAATTAAAAAAATTCAATTCTTTAATTGAATCAAACTTTATTCACCCCTCTCGAAACTTAAAATCGAGAAAATTCATCCGTCTGCAGTCAAATTCTAGTTTTGATCTCTCTAATATATTTAAATTTGAGATATAATTCCTATATTTTACTTTGGCATAATTTAATCATCAACTTTTACAATGTTATTCAAACAGCATAATATTATTAATTGTTTTAGTTAATTTTTTTTATAAAAATATCACTAATTCATTATTATTATTTTTTGTGTTTGAAGAAGTGTTTTAAGGAAAAATCGAGTTAGCATCTTGGCTAGAATAGTTAACAATATTAATCGTTTGAGTTAATTAATGTCATTATAAAAATATTAAATTATAAAAAAAATACTTTTCTAATAAACAATATAACACAAAAATCAAAACCATAATTTAATCTCAATTTGCTCCTTAAGTAAAAAAGTTGATCGTGAAGCCTTTAATTATCCGCTCGGTGGTTAACCGGTGGCGGATATAAATGTATTTCAAAGAGGACAAGTGTTAATTATCTTAAAATTCAAATTTCTTTAATTATTTATTTATTATATTATCCTTGTCTATATGAAAATTTTATTTGTACCAATTTTATATGAAAAAAATTATGTTACTAATATATTCGTGTCAAACCTCAAAAATATTTATGTTCCTATCATTGTTTTCAATCCCAGCTTTGTAGTTTTTTTTGTAATTCCCAGCTTTCTAGTTTTTATGTAATTTGAAAACCCTAAAACAGATATTAGTACATAGATGAGTACTTGACAATGACATCTTTAAAGAGATTAGATGAGTTGGCCATGGTGGGAGTGGTTCTGGAAATAAAATTATGTATTTGATTATTTAACTATTGAATTAGCATCTAATTATTTGATAAGGACAAAAATGATAAAATAAAATTGTTAGGTCATATAAGATTGGGGTTAGTGGATTAATTTACATTATCTTGTCCTTAATTAATGTATCCCTTTTGTCATTTTCAAGGCAAAGTAGGTGAACATTTAGCTCTTTGATGATGACCAAATTGGCTGTAAATTACAGAGTTAGATGGGATTTCGCTGTTGAAACTGAAATATTATTTGCTGTCACTATTAAAAGAAATAAATCCAGTGACATTGGGAGTATTATATATATATTTTTTTAAATCTATAAATTTTATAGTGTAAATACATTTTTACCAAATATTTAATTTTATATTTTTTAAATTTCATAATATTTTACCTTTAAATTTTTAATATAACCTCGTAAGCATTTACACCCGTTACATAATTATATTTTTTATATCCATCCCTCTCTAATTAGAATATAAAATACTCAATTTAAGAGGGATGAAATCACCAATTTTCAAAATACAGAAAACCACTAATTAACGTGATGACGTCTTGGATCGATTTTAGAAAAATATTTGTGGTTATTATGTGGTATTTTGATTTTTAAAAATATTGAATTTTATATGTATAGATAAGTCAAACTGAAATCTATAGATTCCAATTGTACAATACATCAACATTTAAAAAAAAGAATTTTAAATATTTTCGTATAATATTTTTAAATTATCTTTTATTAAAAATATTTATTTTTATATTACAAAAATAAATCTAATTATAAGTTAAATAAAAACCAAAATTCTAATTAACACATCTAATTATGACTTTTTAAACAGATAAATAAAAAATTAATTTAATTTAATAAAATTAAATTAAATCAAATCAAATATTACGATATCAATTTTTTATTCTTTTAACTCTATTATTAATATTTTACTTTTTTGAATTTAACATGAGTGTTTGCTACACATAAATATTTAAAAAGTATATTACAATTTTTAAAACATTTTATATAAAAAAGTATATAACATATTTAAATTGGAATATAAGTAACTTTTGCATTAGTTGTGGGCTCTCCAGTATTCCACAATAATCAAAGATTGAAAAAGAGTTAAATCTCAATTTCTTGGGGGGTGTATGAGGAAATGCAGTTGTCGAAACGATTTTTAAACGGCGTGGAAAAGCGCGTTATTTTTAATTATTTTCTTTACGATTGATTTTAATTAAAAATAATACGATTTTAGAAAACCTCTCGTTTCGAAAAATTGGAAATTCCTTTACGATGAAAAAATAAGGTTCGAGGAGTCGCCACCAATCTTTGATTAGGGTGTGATTGGGCACCCAAAAACATTCTGTCATTTTAAATTAATTTTAATTAAAACGACAAGTAGAGGTCTGCGTTATCAAAATCTGAGTTCGGGAGTCGATTACGTGTGGGGAAGGATTAGCACCCCCACAACGCCCTAAATCGGTACCTAGTCGATTAATTAATTTCTTTGCAACGAATTTCACAAGTTCAAATTTGATTTAATTTTTGATCCCTTTAAACGACAAACATGCAAATTTGCAACATTCAAAGCAACAAAATAGATTTAATTTAAAAATTACCAAGTCATTAGAAAGATAAAGAATATTCGATTATTTAAAAATATCGAGACCAGATCTTTAGTTCAGTTCTAACGACCTTTTCTCGAAAAGTTTAAATAGTCGAATATTTCCTTTTCTTTCGCTCCCAAATTTTACAATGACATATCCAAATTTAATTAGGCGTTACTGACGGGACACCATTTTAATTTAAAATCGTCAAAACAACTTTCCTGTAAGTTAAGGAAAGCCATTCTGATAATTTTAGATTAAAAGGGCATTACCCTTAATTCCGATTATGCAATAATGTCAAGTTATGCATATGAGGATATCATGCAAAATTATACAAAGTGATGTTAATGCAAAAAATAATTAAATATGCGATTAAAGTGAACGAATTCAGACATGCTCATAAAAATAATTACACCTACGTGCGTATGAACAACATGCTTGAAATAATATCCATGCATATATTTTAAAATAAATCTAAATTATCCTAACAATCATGCATAAAATATTAAAAGGACTAAAACATAAAAAATAAATAACAACAACCTTTTTCATAACATTTTCATTTCTGGGTACTGCAAACATAATATAACCAAAATATTGCATAGGATCAAATTGAAAGCTTCTCAAATTACATATCCAATGTATAACAATCACGAAAACAACCCTTGCATGATTCTGGACTGAAATGTAAAACGCTGGAAATTACGAGGCGAAATCAAATATCAATAAAGCTCGGCTTAAGGATCAAACGAAATGAAACAAAACTGGGATGGCCACGCTCACAATTAACCCCTCCCCAACAAAACGCGGGCGTTTTTGGATCTGCACAAAACTACGCCGTTTCACGGCCACCTAAACGACGCCGTTTTGGCGTTATAACAAACCAAATGGTAGATTTTTAACCCTAATCTCATTTCTTCTTCAGCCTCACCAAACCTGCCGTTTCACTCTCATCCTCTCTCTCTCTCGATTCTTCATCTGGTTCAACCGAGACCTCGCCCTCACCACTCA